TGTCAGCCAGGAGGCTGGGCAGTCTGTGGGGCCTCTGGCAGTGGAACCAGGATGTATCCCTAGTGCACAAATGGACTTCGGGAGCACATTCCCCATGGAGGGACACTCTCTCAGCCTAGATACAAGAAGGAGGACTTAGGCCCTGTCCCAAAGGATGTGACAGACTTTGATGACCCCTCATGGGAGGCCTCACTCTCTCTAGAGAGTGGATGTAGGGTGGGATGTGAGGTTGGTGGGGGGCATGGGAGGATGGGAGAGAGGGGGAAGTGGGATTGGTAAAATAAGATTGTTTCTAATTTAAATAAAAATGTTTTTTTTTAAAATAAAGCAAACACAATAAGGAAGAAAAGAAAGATAGACAGACAGAAAGGAAGAAAGAGAAACACTCCTAAATCTGTGAGACATTTTCAGGAGGAAGAAGACAAGAGGATTCAGATGGAACTGGGCAATTGTCCCATCATCTCAAAGGCTTGGTGATACACCTCACCCTTTAAGCAATTACTGCTTTTCATGGAAATGTAGGCTCTACCTTGTGAGCAGGGAGACATTTCAGGCACAGCTAGTGTTAATTTCCCTTATATTTTGCCACTAGTTCTTTCCTTGTGGGCGATACAGGCTATTCACACAACAAAAATGCACACACTAATTAAAAGTCCCCCTTTCTACTCTCTCTGGTAGCGAACAAGACATTTTGTTAAACTATAAATAATTTGAATTTAAATAGTAGTGTACTACATCACCCACAGACAGGTTCTTACACTGACTTTTGACTTTGACAAGGTTTTGGAATTCTACCTAACCTCTTAAAAATGTCCCACACACTTTAGAAGCCTTTATGAGCTACGGAGTTATGTTCTAGAGACATCAAGTGTCAGCAGCATCAAGGAATCAAATGATGGACAAGTGGGGGGCGGGGCTGTGGTGATCCAGTCCCTCCCACCTTTCCAGTCTGTATTCTAAACATTGAGTGTGTGGGGAATGCACCAGCCTGAGACCAGCAGGAGCTTCATGGGGCAGCCCCAGGGCATTCCTTTCCCATTCCTACTATGGATGAATTTAGCTCAGACAGCCTAGTCTCCCCCAGGTGGAAAACCCATGGTATAGTGCTCTTTAGAGGTCTCTACTGCAGTGAGGTGTGGGAAATTCACAGCACTAGACCTACACTAGAAAAGTTTCCTAGACCACAGAGAACCAGATTGCCCTGAATCCCAGGTTTCCATTGTCCCCACCTCTGATGTGTGAATAACAAAATCGCCTCAGTTAATTTGTGTGTTACCCTTCATGCGGATGGGGCAATGGTGTGCAGTGAATGCGCTTTCAGAGGAAGCTTGCTGGCCTTGGTAGTGGAAGCTTATCTTAGAAAATGTAAAAAAAAAAAAAAAAAAAAAAAAAAAAAAAAAAAAAAAGAATACTGTGGTTCAACAAGATGGCTCAGTGGGTACAGGTGTTTGCTGCCAAGTCTGACAGCCTGAGTTCAATCCCTGGGACCCACATGGTAGGAGGTAACTAACTCTCACAAGTTGTCCTCTGATCTCCTTTGGAAACACACACACACACACACACACACACACACACATGCACGCTCGCACACGCACATGCACACACACACTCAGACAAATATGCCAAAAGAAGATCTAAAAGAATATTCTGCAAGTGGATTTTTGCCCAGTAGAAAACAAATAGATGCTTCAAAGGTTCTCTATTTTACAGTTACTATATGCTTGAGAGGATAGCAATTAAAAACAAAACACAAAATTAGCAATGAAAAGGAGGTTATAACTGTACATGTAGAAGTCAGAATGACTATGAGAAGACAAAACAAGTTTACATTCATAACAATTAAAATGAAAACAGAACATGTAAAAGCCTTTGCACAAATAAAACTTTGCATAAATATTTTATGAAGTACTAAGAAAATCTTATGGCTGTGAGCTACATTAAATAACACTGTGATAAGTACTTTAATAGGAAATGAAATCATTGGAATTTGGCATAGTCTTACAGAAAAGTTATACTGAAATTTAAATATTAGATTATTCTAATCTTAAGCAAACTTCTCCACAGACTTTGGGATGTTCCTTGTGTTACATTGACTCTGAAGACTCCACATTTCCCATTCCTCACTCTTCCTGAAATGTGTACCATTTGTAATATGACTTGATAGCTGGTCACCAAAGTTGTGGGATCTACTTCCTTAATCTCTGCATCAGGATTAGTTTCTCCAGTTGCTATAGTGATTATAAAAGGTAGTGGAAGGGATGGCCTTGGAAATGGTGATATGCTGGTCATCACCGGTGCCTTGAGAGGTTGCCCAGACTTCTGGACATCATGTGCGCACACGTGTGGGTTGGAATGTTGAATGTGAAGAACATGCAACCCAGTCATTCTTGTGGTCCCATCCCATAGCCAACCATCAGTGAGGCAGATACATAAGGGCATCCTAGGTGACTCCCAGAATTCAGCACACAGACCTGCCAGAAAAGGCCAACCACATCTAGTCTAAATCTCACACATTTCCAGCTGATCCTTGGACTCATAAAGATTTATGCTTATTGTTTGAAGTCAATAAGTTTCAAACTGGCTTTGCTAACTAATGGAGAGATCAGTATCTAGAGGTGGGGTGCTAGGTATATAAAAGCCTGAAGGATGTGATGCGACTTTTCCCTGGAGGCTGGAGAGTGGTAATACTTTTGCCTGTTTAAGCTAGAAGAAAGAAGATGACCTGTAGATGCTTATAATTGTGGTACAGGTTCTCAGCTGGCTGCCCCAAACTGTGGAAGAGATGGTCTGGCAAGATAAAGACGTGTAAGAAAGGACTGTTTGGTTTCTAGACAAATGGAGGACATATAGAGAGCAGAATTGCTAGACTAGAGATAAAATGTATTCTAGCTTTTCTGTTTGGCAAAAGTTTCTTGAATTTAAATGGAATCTGGAAGTGTGAATAAACTCCAAGCCGAGTCTTTCAGAATATCTATGTGAGAGATTTAAGTAGTGCCACATAGGCCAGTTAACCATAAAAAGGAGCTTCTAGGACCCTTTAGGTCATTGTCCCAAAGTAGAGTCACACACCCAAAAGGATGTGCTGGGTTGGAAGAAGTCTTAGAAACAGTAGTGGATTGTGTTCGTGCGTGTGTGCGTGCATGCGTGCGTGTGTGTGTGTGTGTGTGTGTGTGTGTGTGTGAGTTCTGACAAATGCATTTGAGTGGAGTTGGATATGGTGACATGAGCTCTTGAGTGGGTTGTACAAATCCACTCCATCAGTCCGACATAAAACAAACTGATGGGTAAACTTCAAAATGCCTCTAGGCAGTTCAGAAGATCTCTGCTTCTTCCAGGCTGCTTGTCTTGTAGGAGAGAAACTCTCAGTAGGCCTCACTATTAAAGTGCTTGGGTAGAGAGGGGCCACCTGGATCTGGTTAGTTTCAGGGACTTCCGGAAGCTGTTTTATGTTGTCTAAAGGTGCTTCCCTGCAGGATGGAAATTTCATCTCTGTGCAAACATTCTGTGCCTTTCTGAACTTCCCTCTAAGACCGAAGGTTTTAAATCACCGGAAGTGGCTGCACCAAAGTCTGAGATCAGGGAACAGCAGCAGGTCGGCGAGTCTCAGTTTGGCCTGTCACAGTTCCAGGGTGAGGGAGGCCCAAAGAGCAGAAGCTCTGAGGAGCAGGGGGCGGGCACAGGTGGAAAGTATATAGGGACAGATAGCCTCACCCTTGGTGGCCAGGAGCAGATCTCATCAACTGAAAACATTAAGTGATAAGCTGAGGCCAGAAGGAGGGAAAAACAAACAACAAACAAACAAACACATGCAGAGCCACCTCTCCGTTATTCACAGATGTAGAATCTGGGGGAGAATGGTCGGTGGCATCCCGAGGTGTTTTTGATACAGCCGTACCTTTCCATCGGGTGATGAGTACCCAGGCAGCCTTGAAGGGAAGAGGTCAGGACTTCTGCCTGTCCTGACTTCACTGCTGTGGTTGGAGATGTCCTTTCCCACCCGGTTAAAATGTCCCAGGAGAACCATCCAGGGAGGGTGGGCGAGCCTCCCCTGCTCACAGGCTGCAAAGCTAAGTGTGACCAGCAGAGGTCTCTGGTATGCAAAGGAGGAAAGCTACCAAGGTGGACACAAGCGACAGCCCTGGGGGACTTGAGAGCATTGTCCCACTCAGAATAGGAAGACAAGCAGCCCACCAGGTCACTGAATGTCCCAGGCTCCAGGCAGGTAACCGCAACCTCCGACTTAGCCGCTCTCTGCCGCCTTTTGTGACCCTTGATCCTTCCCCACTGCCAACTTTTACTGGGATTTCAGCAGGACTTTTTTCTTATTAATTTTCAAAGCTATATTTTACTTATCACTCCCCATTGCTCATCCACTAATTTTGTTTAAAAATTTTAAATTATTGGGCAATGTTTTCCCTTTCCTTAGCTTTCTTTTTGTCCCTGAGTAGAAGTATTTTGACTTTACCTTATTGATTTAAGAATTTCCTTGTTTTAATTTTTATTTTTCTTATATTTATTCAATTTTAAAAGCCTTTTCACTATCACTTCTACCCATTTATGTTTCTTTTTCCACTTTAATCACTTCGTACTACATCCTGCAGTAGTTTGGCCACTTTCAGTTTTTGTGGTCATTGATGATATAGGGCAGAGCTATAATTAATTTTAAGTGTATCTCTATATCTTGCATGTGGTAAGGTTCTTGCTGTTAGAACAGTTTCTTTTCTCCAATGTAGTTAAAGGTAAGCAAGATGCAAAAAACATTCAGCAAGGAAATGAAAAGTTTTGAAAACAAAACCAAAACTAAATAGCAATGATAAAAATGAAAAGTTCAGTGAATCAGACAGTCAATCAAAAAATCCCCGAGCAGAAGTAAGACAGAGACTTAACTCCACTATTTAAATAGCAGGCCAACACTTATCACAGTTTTAAAATCAAGAATTGATTTCATGAGAAAATTATAATCCATTGAAGTATATCAAAATATGAAACACGTGTAAGCCATGGGGAGCAGTGGCCGACAGGAGGTAAGAAAGCGTTGGGCATAAGTTGACGGCTTTGCTAGGGTTATCATAATTATTATTGCAGGTGAGTGATGAAACTATGGGCTAATCTATCAATAATGGTAGGGTGACAGATTGCCTCACAGGGCAAAGAAAGTTGACCCTTACCTCATACCTTAGACTTAAATACCAAATTACCTTAAATATAAAATGGGAATCTTAAGAAAATGGTACAGGGCTTATGAGATGCCTTGGCCAATGAAGGTCCCAGGATACCAACTCTGGTAACCCGAGACTGATCCCCAGGCCTAAACAGAGGTAGCACACGAGGAATAAGTTCTGCTTATTTAATCACAGAAACAAAAGCCAGACAAATAAAAACCAATAGGGCTCCAAATGGGAGAGGACACAGAAAGAATGACTCTGGAAAGATTTGGCCAGCTAGCATCTCAGTAAGAAGGCAGTTAAAAGACTCTCGGAAACTCGTTACCTAATACTCTATCCTAGGAATGGCCACTGAGGATATTCAGACAGTCATGTAGTCAAGAAATGCAAGCGAAATTTAAAATGACATGGAAACAGGGATCTCCTTCACCAAATTAAGAAAGGTATTGCTTGGGTGGAAAACAACCAGCCTCAGTACAAATTGGTGTGTGACATTTGAACAAAAATAGGTATTGTGTGCTATATATAAATGTGTGCAAATTTTTATGATCACCAACTCCATACCCAAATGCCAGCCTTGGAAATTCTTGCACATATACACACAGAGTTAATCTCCGAGAACACTGAAGTGTGGCTCCAAACAGCATCAATGCGCAAGTCCTCCACTGGGGACCACAGTGTGAAGTCTCTCGATGTGACCCTGGATTAAAAATGGTATGCGGTGGCTTTTCTGATTGGTAAGATGGGGGAAAATGTCTTAGAATGGTTGCAAAGGTTGGCTAAGACCACACTGGTAAAGACCTCTACCCGGACCCTGGCTGAGGGGTTCTGTCTGCGTTAGAGCCCGACTCCTTCCTGTATTGCCCTTCTTATTGGTAGTATGAAGCTGCTGTGTGTTGCTAGTTAGTTTTAGCAGCAGCACGGACAGTATGGCTACTGTGGCCAAGTGTTTAATAAAGCTAATCTCTCTTGCTTAGGGTTTGAGAAAGGAAGCACATGGTGTTCGGGATCAGCTTATCCAAAGCACAGGAGTTGTGGGGTCTCACACTCAGCCTGTGTACTCAACACCCCACCTTCTTCCCATTAACCCTTGTCCTGTCTGCTATTTTTGTTCTTAGTAACCTGGGCAAAGGCTGGCACCTCATAAGCACTTAGAAAATATTTGCTTCTTGGATGGATGGAGTGATTGAGAAAGTGAGAAATTTCCAAGGCCCCCTTTAAAGCAATTTGAAAAATCACATTTCTTTCCCCTTGAAAAATGCCTATTACTGTTGAACTGACTTTCTCCAATCCCAAATGCGTGTGATTTGATTTGTTAGAAGATAATTTAGTATATATTAGAATGGGAATAAAAATATATGCGTCCGGGCATTTCGGGAACTACTGTCGGAAGAGAAGGCTGGCTTGAACGGCAGCAAAGGAGCAGAGAGAGGAATGTGGATCCCATTTGGCAGAGTGAAATGTTAGCCAGAGCGCTTTCCAGGACATCCATCCTGTCCTCAGCCCGCTGAAGGTCATGGGTGCCAAAGCTGCAGTCTGCCCACCTGCCCAGCTGTGTCTCCTTATGCTCGAAAGTACCATTGTCCCCTGACCGCCATCCCGTGAGGCAGGCATCATCAGTCACAGCTCGGCTTTGTATGGAAACGGCAGCCATGTGAGCACAATTGTTACGGTTATCGGCCAATGCTAACTTACTGCAGAAACACAGAGAAATTCGCGCATATCGGATTTATATTACAGAGGTTTGTGACCAAAGTGATATAAAGTATAACATTGGAAGAGATTAGGAAAACTCAAAACAGGAAGGAAGCAAGCATGTTCTGGGGATTTTAGTGAAGGTATTTTATTTATTTATTTTTTAAATGGTAAAAATGGCATTTTTATTTTTAAGGGAGAATTTCATTTAAAGCAGAATCACATTGCAGCCTTTTCCCTCAGAAATTTCTGCCCTGGTTTCATAAGTGCCCATCTGAACGGCAGAGGGGACAAGCGAGGAGAGCTGCTGGGCCACTGGGGCTTGTTTCGCATGCTCCCTAGGCCTTTGTGCGGCATCGTAGTTTCTGAGGACCCTGCCATGATGAAGTCTGGTTGTTTAATCCAGCGGAAGCTCCTTGGTGTCTCTGCTCACAGTCTGTCAGGCAGGTGCTTCCGTGTGGCAGCTCCGGGTTAGAAATGAACAAAAAGCAGGAGGAAGTTTTGATCATGTATGGAAAACCTTTCGTAAAATAACTTACCTGGAAATCGTTTCAATTTTCCGTGTAAAAAATTTACATTCCAACCCACTGAAGTTGCACCCTCTCCTCATCTCCCAGCCCCTCCCCATCCATTCCTCTCTTTCTGTTCAGAAAAGGGCAGGTCTTCCATGTTTTAATTATCAAGTTTTAGTCTGAATGTTTGATGCATGAAGAAAAAAAATTACAGAATTCTATCGGGTTTGGTCAAAAAGCTGTGTTTTTGACTGAACTAACACTAACATTAAGCCATGGGACCTTGATTGACAGATGGTTCAGCAGGTGAAGGCACTTGCCACCAAGCCTGACAACCTGAGTTCCATACCTGGGTGGTGGGAGAAGTCATTGGGTTGTCCTGTGACCGCCATATGCATTCAGGGGCCTGTGTCATTCTCCACACCCCTAATAGATAAAAATTAAAAAACCCAAACTTGGGGTTCATAAGAAACTGTTGCCATTTCTTAGAGCATATCCTCAAAGTTGTCATCTACACATCTACTCAGACACCTTCCTGTGTCTTTATAAATGGTTTCCCACTAATGCAGCTTGGTGAAAAGCACATGGATCGTAGATTATTAAAAACAACAAACCAAAACCCAAAAAACTCCATCACTCCTTGTCCTGGGGTATTGGTCTTCTGATTTACGGGGACCATAGTTTCCTGACTCAGAAGGCAGAAGCATTTCCCTTCTTGTGAGCACACTGGTGGCTTTAGGAGGAGACTCTACCACCGTGTCTGCGTGATGAAATTAATGAGAAATATTAACTAGGTTGCTGTCTCTTCCCACCTTAGGCATGTTTTCATTACAGAGTAATTCTGATTAGGTTTTGTGTGTGTGTGTGTGTGTGTGTGTGTGTGTGTGTGTGTGTGTATGTGTGTGTGTGTACACGCACGCACATGCACAGTCATAGAAGTATGGAAGCAGAAGGACATTAGAAGGAATTTAGTGCTATTACTTCCAAGCCCACAGATCCTGTCCTGTGGATAACATCTGGTCCCCTGCACAGCACTTTATGGGCTCGTGATGCCGGAGAAACACGGGAGGTACCATATGTAGGGCAGGCTCTAGTCCCATTGGAAATGTCCTCTCAGGACTTCGTTTCTGCAGGGTGACGGGTGTGAATGTATTTCACTATGAGGAATGGTGATTCTTCCTTTACACCAGTCAAAGTGGCCCTCATGTCCTCCCACATACAGAATTAAGGCAAAGGCAAAGACATAAACAGAACAAATTACCAGTGCTGTACCCTTACTTTGAAATCCAGCTTCAGGAAATAAAATAGATTTTTTTTTACATTGATTGACAGATTCTACTGTAGGCTATTTATAAATGTCTGCAGATCTCTCTGGGGGTCTAATTCTCACTTGTTATTAAAGACAATGCTGAGGGCTCTGACTTCCTTTGGAATTTTAAGCCATCACTGTTTAGGATTTTTTTTTTTTTCCTCTCTCTGAAACTCATTAAATTTTAACTAGACGCACACTTTCTGTGTTCAACTGTGGGGAAAGACATATTTGGAATATCTGTCAAGTATGTTGTTGTTACTCACAAAAATATGTCTAGTTTTAAGCCCTGGAACACAGATCTGCTTGGAGGCAGCATTGGAGGCGGAACATGTCACCCGGCAGTGTGCAGTAGAGACTCATGTTCAAACAGAGAAGCCCAAAATCTTCTCAGAACTTTCCTGGCACATCAATACTAGGAGGCTGGTTTGAAAATTTCCCATTCATCTCTACTAAAGAGTTGGGGGGTGGGATGGGGAAAGAAAAAAACACTTATCTTAAAGATTCATGATTCAAGCGGCCGATAGAATCTGTAGTTTCCATAGTGCTGGGCCCTAGATTTCCCTTTAATGTAATTAAGCCTCAAGATTTATGAATACAACAGGCCAGAACTTGATCCGTGTTCGTTTTCAATTACTGCAGTGAAAGGACTCTATCCAGATGTCTCTATTTATAACATTCAAGCAGGCCCGGCCAGGGGCTGAGGGGGGGGGCCCAAATTGTCAACTTGTTAATTCTTCCCAGAGGGTACTGAGCCGAGGTCCTGGCTTTGACCCTGTGACAAAGGGTAGAGACCCTGGGGGCAAGGGCATCAATGCTTCCAGGGACAACACGGTGAGCCCCAGGGTCACTCCCTCTGCTTTGTAGGTATTTGTGTAATAATGGGGTCCGTTCCTTATTTTTTATTTCTGTTACAGTTCTGGGAACATCGGAGGGGGAAAAACTGGCTCGAATGTAGATGTGAAAGACAAACACATATAATGAGAGCATCAGGTGTCCCCTGGCAACAGTAACCAGGATAAAATGCTACAGGGGAGGCACACAGTATGCAGTGACCCACATAATCGGGCCGATTTGGGGAGCATTGTTTTATTTTTCTTTTGAAGGGTGTTGTGTCTTTTTTTTTTTTTCTTTCTTTCTCAAGTGTTCCCTGGTCTACAATTTAGTTTTGCCAGGATTATCAGATCCTGAGTGTCTTTTCTCCTTGCACAGTTATTTCTTTTTGGAGCAGGTTTTCAGCCACCAGAAACCCACCTGCTAGGGAAGCCTACAACATTCCATTTTATTTTTTTTTTTTCCTTTGTAAAAGATTTCTGTGCTTTCCAGGACCTTTCGGCAGGTTTCTCAGACGTGTGCAAAGTGTTCCCTTACACGAATGTGGATGTCTGCATGGAGATATCATTTTAAAAGGAAAATCCCAAACAAAAGGCTTAGAAATAAGAGCCCAGCGGGGAGGCAGGCCCAGTAATGAAACGGAGCCCGTCCAGTAAAAAGCCCCATCCGACCCACGCTTTTCCTTGGCATGTGTGCAGTTCATCATTTTATTCTCTAAGCTCACAGCCCTGAGTTGCTACCTTGTAAACAAGAATGAACTGGGACATTGGGAGCGGTAATTGGCTGTTCCATGAACATGTGGCTCTGAGGACAGTGGGCCAATGTCTCCTGACTCAGAAGACCACTTCTAAAAGGGGCTGCGAAACCTCTCGGTTAGTCCTTTAAATCAATTTGCGGTTTTTCTCTTTTCCAGCCATGATCTTTACAGGACTCAAATTTACTTCGGTGAATTTAAACAGATTTGAATCAAACGAGGGATTGTTCAAAAGTAGAACTTCAGCCAGGCTTATTCCATTGTTGATCTCCAGCATGACACCTCTCTTTACCTCTCTTTCTTTAAGACATTTTTAAATAATTCAGTACCAAATCCAATCAAGTTCAAAAACATCATTATGCATAAATGTGCCCTTCTAGTTTCAATGAATCTATTTTAGATACAAACATCATTTCTAACCACCTCTTTCTCTCCTTCCCTCCCTCCCTCCCCCTCCCTCTGTCCTTCCCTTTCTTCCTTCCTTTCTTTCTTTCTTTTTTTCTTTCTTTCTTCCTTCCTTCCTTCCTTCCTTCCTTCCTTTCTTCCTTTCTTTCTTTATTGTGTATGAATGTGTACCAGACACACAAGACAGGAGGAGATCAGGACTGAAATATATCTCGACCAGTTACTCCTCCTGGAAAGCTGTTGTCTGACACTTGGAGCCATTAATCTGGGTGGGTAGCTCTCTTGCTTACCCCACTCAGTTGTACAGTAGACTTGGGGGGCCATGCTGAAACAAGGCACAGTATTTTCACAAGGTTTTCCCAGTGTACTTTGCTGCTTCTGACTGGTTCTATCGTATCGGTAGAGTCGATTTTGTTTTCTAAAGCATTTTTAAATCACAGTTACTTGGTCTCGGTTTCAGCTTTTGAAAGCTGCCCTTAACTCATTGTTGTGATCGCTTTCTGTGTTCCTCATTTCCCACAGCCCCAGTGGTTTCCACTCACCCTGTGACCTAGAACAGGCGAGGCACCCTGTGGCAGAGGCTGAAGCAGACACGATTGAGCAACAAAGAGCAGAGTACAAGATAACTTCCAGACCGGAAGTTATCATTTGTGTGTAGTGTAGCAGAGATGCTAGCTTCAGTGACCTGGAGTGGAAGTTCACATGATGTTCAGGCCTCAGGAGAAAAAGAGGCCTCCAACATGGTGGCTTTTTTTTTTTTTTTTTTTTGTCTGTGCTAAAGGTTTAGCTAGGGGAATACTACAAGCCTAGCTGGAAATATAGAGCCAAGTGGCTTGGGATGTTAACTAAAAATCTGTAAAAATTGGAAAATATTTTCAAATACATGTGGAAAATAATGGTCATGGCTGGAAAGTCTATGTGTGTATGCATGAAGGTCAGTGTAGCTGTCTAATATTTCTTTTGGTTTGAAAGCTGTTTTATACAGCACTCACACACAGGCATACATTTGCAGTTGGAGTGTGAAGTGACCTCTTGTGCTTAGCTGGTGGTATTGTTTTCAGAGCCTACAGGATGTAGGTTGCAGGGTGTGGATGTTAGTTTGGAAGTCTTAGAGGTTCTAGCTGGCCCTGCTTCTAGCCTGTTATGTCCTTCTGGCTTCCTGCCTGCTCACATGCTCACACATCTTAGCTGGTCTCCACAACCACTGCTGTCCAGGAGTGGCTCTTGACTCAACGCTTTCTCAACCTTGAGGGAGAGAGACTCTCTCAATCTGTGGACCAAAACAAACCCTCCTTTAAGTTACTTCTCTTCAAGTGTTTGGTCACAGTGATGAAAACAAACCCAACATGTATAAATAATAGTTAACATCAAAATTTGATATGATTCATAATTATGGACAACTTTATAGTAAACTCTTTGTATAAAGTCCCTGTATGAGATACATGATTAAAAATTAATGTTAGGATCTGAGCACGGTTACATCTGCCAGAGGAGATCTGGAATGGAAATTACCAGAGGATGGCTTTGAGTTATAGTCTCTAGGAAAGCCAAAGGTCAAGCTAGAATATTCAAGTTAATAAAATGAACACATATAGACTCATGGGGCTGGTGTGTATGCTGAGCAGATTGGGGGAATTGGAAGTGTAGTCTGGAGGATTCTGGGTAGGTGGTAGCTAGAGAATTGGGATCACTGAGGTCTTTACCATTAATAGCACAGTCCATAGTGAGTTGGAAGATCATCAAGAAGCCTTGAAAGGTTAAGGACTTGTCTTCTCCAAACTTCCAATAGCACCATTCATGTCTCTTGTGTCCTGGCCCCGCCCCTAGTTTAAATATCCCAAATACCTTCAGCAGTAAGGTCAAGATGATTCTAAGTGGTGGTTTTGCTGAAAATCCCCCACCTTTTTTCTTTGGACATGTCTAAATCATCCTAACTGTCCAGCTGTCAATCATCCTTCTCCAGCTGTCAATCATCCTTCTCCAGCTGTCAATCATCCTTCTCCAGCTGTCAATCATCCTTCTTCTCAAGCTGTCATCGGCCTCAACATCTCTTTCCTCCAAATGTTGCCACCTTTCCAGACTGCTTGTGGATCTCCGAATACACCATTACTTCCTGTATGCCTCTGCATAGTTTTATGTTCCCATTTATCTCCCATCTAGACCCAAGTTTGGACAGTGATTTGTTTTTTTTTAGGAAGCCATGTAAGGTTGTTTTTCCTTTTTGTTGTTTGTGATTCACCTACTTAATTCTGTTTCCATGATGGCCTCAGGTTAACAGACACAGACATGGAAAGAACTCCAGACTTTTGGCAGCGATGGATGATATAAGCAAGGTGTGCAGTATGGCTATACAAAATATTAATCAAATATACTAGAGTGAGTGTCATAACCACTTTATTTTATTATTTTTAATTGGAAAATCATATTATTTTGAATATTTCATGCATGAGTACTATGCTCACATTCTTTCCATCGCTCCCCTTTAATACCTCTTGAGTCCCCCCACTTCCTTTCAAATTCATGGCCTTATTTTCTTTATTTAATTATTCTCTCTTTCTCTCTCCTCCTCTCCCCCCCCACACACTTATGCATGTGTAAATATAGTCCATTTAGTGTTGCTCATGTGCGTAGGCTGATGACTGACCGCTAAGGATTGGATAACCTATTGGGGACTTGGTTCTCCTCTCTCAGTAGTTATTGTCCTCGTCTCTTCATCTAGGGGTGGTGGCCTCGTGTGACTTCCCATATCCATGTTGCCATGTCATTCTGGCCACTTGGAAAGCATTGTTTCTATTCTGTTCTTAGCTGATATTATACACATTGGTGTTTACTGCAGAAAACGCAAGGGTGTGAGTCATCCTGTTTCTTGGCATCAGTTGATTGCTGGAGATCAGTTGTCACAGTGTCTATTGGTAGACAAGAGTAGGCTGTGTACACCTCAGAATGAACGGCATAAGCTTGCTGGGGTCTGGCTTTCATGACTTGGCTTTGGGCAGTGGGAGACAGCTGAGGACAGCTTAGGAACTAATGGTCCTAAATCTGTATTTTTCATAGTTATAAAAATTTCTATATTAAGGATTAATATAGTAATTAATATACAGTAAAGATGACTGTATTAAAAATAGCTACTGAGAAAAACTGTTTTCTCAGTCAAAGCAGGATATAGTTATATAGTTCTTAAAAGTTAGATCTGGGCTGACATTAATTAAAATGCAATTTCTGTATGAGCATATAAATAGCTCTGGTTATAAGACAGATGAACAAAGTTAACTTCAAAATATCTTTGTGAACAGAGTTTGGTTTATCTTGAATTGTTCTTTTTCACAATGTTTTTAATGTCAAGTATAATATTACTTGAATCTTATGCAATGGCACCACTCATTTGTCCCTCCAACTATTTGATTACTCACTTATCCAACTACTTATCTATCCACTTGTTATCATCTTATCCAATAGTCTATGATTCCCACAGTTCCTTTATGCAATGAGTCTTATGTACATTCTTTCTAGTACTAAGTTTTTTCCTTTTTTTTTAGAAGGTTCTAAAAACAAAGTTAGTTTTGTCTGTTTTTTTTATAACAATAGATTTATTTATTTATTTTATTTTATGTGTATTGGTGGTTTGTCTCTTTGTATGTCTGTTCACTGCATGCACGCTGGATGCCTGCAGATGCCTGAAGAGGTTATCAGCTCTCCTAGAACTGGAATTATGGACAGGTTGTGAGCTGCCATGCAGACGGTGGGAGCTGAACCCGAGTTGTCTGGAAAATCAGTGCTCTTAACTGTTGAGCCATTTCTCCTGCTCCTTTTTGATGTTGTTGCTCTTGGATTTTGCATTTGA